CGAGAGAGCGCCTACCTTCCCGGGGAGTCTGTCTTCTGCCTGCCTCACGCCCTCCTTCTGGGCGAGCGTCTCCCTGGGCGCCTGAGGGCCCGCTCCCTGGAGTCTCCGGGAGCCTCCTGGCTGGTCAGGGGGGGAATGACTGGGGGGCTTCCAGGGGCTGTGCCTTTTTTGGACTCAGCAGATTATTTTTAGGCGGCAGTGGAGGTGGCAGTGGCTGCCACTCGTATTATTAGACAGCAGGCCTGTGGTTTGGGAGTCTGGTGCCCAGAGGAGGAGGGGGAGGGGAGAAGGAGCAGGAAGACAGGAGGAGGCTCCAGAGAGAACCTGGCCTCCTGAGGGCAGCGCTCCCTCGTGGTCTCCCTCACCACGGCGGCCACCAGATCCAGCCGGAGGCTCCTGGGCCAGGTACGGTGACACTGAGCTCCCAGCCAGCCCACGTCGGCCAACTGCCTTCTGCAATGTCCGCCCTGTCATCCTGGCCGGGTCCCGGTTACAGGAGCCTGGCTGGAGAGCCTTGCAGAGCATGCCGTGGAGAGGGGCGGTGGGGAGGGGCGGCGGGGCGTGCTTTGGGTGCCGTGGGGAGAGGCCTTGGTGCCTGGCCTGTGGCCGGCAGGATGGCACCAGTGAGTGAAGCCAAGAGGGTGTGCAGGCTGCCCTAGCGGCCACCTGAGTGACCTGGCTGAGCCGCGGAGCCTCCCAGCTTGCTGGTTTGTGACATGGCAATGGCAGTGCTTCTGCCAGGTGGGCACCGTGGCCATTAAGGGAGCTCCGTGTTACATGCCCAGCACAGGGCCTGGCATATGGCAGGTGGGCAGAGGAAGCGGGAGCTCTCTGCACTGGCACCGGTACCTTCTCTGGTATTAGGAGTGTCTCCCACGCCCGTGCCCTGCCTCCCGCAGCCCTGCCCTGGGAGAGCTCCAGGTGGTGAATGTCAGGTGTGGGGCCGAGCCAGGCCCTGGTCACCTCGTGGCCTCATGGTTCTGTGCTCACGGGATCCAATGGCAGCCGTGGACTCGGGCCCCCGCCGTGGACCACCTGGCCCCGGGAGCAGGAGATTTGTACCCCGTGGGCTTTCAAAGGTCAGCCAGACTGCAGGTGCTGCCTCCCCCTCCTTCGCCCCCCCTCCCCTTTTCCCTCCTGGGGTAGAACAGCTCCACGGGGGACTGGCAGGGCCCCAAGGTGCAGATTGGCTGGGCTCGGGCACTGCTGTGTTCCGCCTTCTCTGAACCCAGCCTGTGAAATCCAGGGCACCTCACAGCCTCCCACTGTCCTCACCCCTGCAGGTCCCAGCTTCTCTAAGAGGTCGCAGCCCCCTCTTTGGGCTGTTCCCTGCCTCTCCCTCTCCCTGCCCCGCCCTCCTCCCTCTTCCCTCCTCCTTCCCACCTCTCCCTCCTCCCTCCCTCCCTCTCTCCCTCCTCCCGCTTCCTTCCTGCTCCCTTCAGAACCAGTGGGCAGTTACTCCCGTCAGCTCTGCTGGGAGAAGCCCCCCTGTTCCCTGGAGGAACAGCCTCGGCTCTCTGGTCTTCCTGGTTCTGGGTGCTTTGAAGGCCTGTGTGTATGTCCCTGTGGCTGAGTCTTCAGTGCCCGTGAGTTCTCTCTCTTTCTCTCTCTCTTCCACCTTCCTCCCTCCCCTTGGGCTGGCTGGGCCCTGCCTGTTTGATCTGCACTATACCCATCTCTGTGTCTCTCCTTTCTTGCTTCTTGAATCCCTTTCCCACTTTGGCTTCAGTGGGGGTCCCCTGGGTTTGAGGCCCCATCCCTCCTCTATCAAGCCCTCTTCCCTCTTCATTGCTAACCTGCCTGCTTCTCTTTTTTGGTAGTGACCTTTTTGGTACAAAGTGTTTATTAGACATGTTCTGGCTCAGAAAAAATCCAGCTTAGGGAGAAGTGCTT